AAAAATAACTATATACTCACACGCAAACAAACAAGTGAAAAAGATACCACTATACTCAGTATTAAACCCACTAACCAACTCCCTCTCAGACTCAGAATAATCAAATGGAGTACGATTAGTTTCACATAAAATACAAATCAAGAACAGTATATATAATAAAGGAAACAACATAAAAGATACAATATTAGAATAATAACAAGCACACAAACAATATCTACCATAACATAATGCACAAAATATTACTATACACATAAAACAAGCTTCAAACCTAACAGAACTAAAAGCAGAACGCATAGCACCAAAAAACGAGTAACTACTATAACTCCCCCAACCACTAAACAATAAAGCATAACTGGCACCACTAGTAATAACCAAAAATCAAATCAATGAGAATCTAGAATAACTTAATCTATAATATCTACCAAAAATTAGACAATAATATATTACCAATAATATTAACAAAAATACCCCACACAATGCTATAAATCTACGACTCTGAAAATAATAGTACTTACTCTTAAAAACTAACTTCATCAAATCAGAAAATCTTTGTAATAAACCCATAAAACCAACCTTTTTAGGACCCTTACGATATTGACAGTACCCCAAAATCTTACGCTCACTCAAAATAAAAAAAGCTATAACTAACAAACTTAACAATAACCCCAATAAACCAGAAACAAAACCAAAAATCATATTAACAACTTGGTTAACACCACCTATAGTGAGACAAACTATAATTCTTATTAAACTAAAGTTGTAAACACAACAAAGAAGCACAACACTTACCCTTAAGACGCAAACTTAAAATTCTTATATTAAACTACTTCATTAGTAAAGCTCAAACTTGAGTTCCTATGTGTGTAAAACAAATATTTTAAATAAACTACATTACAAACATATACATTTAACCAACCCAAAATTTAAAAACCCCAGAATAAAAATAATCACTACACAACTTATATAAAAAAAACTGTTCAGAAAATCTATATAACCTCCATACAACTAAAACATATATAGATGAATAAAATATAGCAATACAAACACCTAACTTATAAAATAAAGGAAGTGACAAAGGAGTAACCAAAAGCAAAAAACAATATAACCAAAAATTAATTAAATATCCACCAACATCACATATCAAGTAAAAATAGTAGACACACCATATAGACCAAAATAAATAATAACCATATATATACATACATATATTAATATCAGAACAAAAACACGCAATCAATAACGTAGAAACAGAAGAAAGTGACATATGACATCAAATAAACTTTCAACCGTTACTAAATATTCAAAAAAGAAAAGAACACCACAAAATAGTCAACGAACAATCAAAAAAAATAAGATATAACCTAACTTTCTGAAATATAAAAGAAAAAAACAAAATAGGAAACTTCAAAACAACACTCAGAAGAAAAATAAAAAATCAATTACTACTACTAAAAACTCGATAAACCCACAAACTAAATGGAAATAAACCAAACTTCATTACAAAACCAAAAAATACAAAATAATATAAATCAACTAATAATATACCAGTCACAATAAATACTGAAGATAAACCTGAGATTACCAAATAAGTCAACAAAGATTTATAAAATCCACTAACATTACTGTCACTTACACAAAAATATCTCGGAATTATAGATAAACCGCACAACTCCAAAAATACTCAAAACCTAACCAATCTATCAACAATTCTACAAAATATACAAAATAATACAGAAAAAAAAAAAGAAAAAAAAATCAAATCAATATATAAACGACTATTATGTACAACCATAATATCTACTAATGATCTATAGAGAAAGATAATATTCTAGTAACTATGTATCAATGTACTATAGCAACAAACACTT